GATTTTTCTCCTCCCCTCCCCTTCCCCCCCTCTCCCCGAGCTTTTTTTTTTTTTTTCCTCTTTTTTTTGGGGGGCCTTTTTTTTTTCGCTTTGCAAAAAAAGGCGCAAATCATGCACAATATTGTCTTTTGCGGTTTATCTTCCTGGGGAGAAACTTTCACCTCCTCAGCCGGGCGGTGAACGCGAGACTGATAGCGGCAATCATTCCTGCAGATAAATGAATTGAAAAGACGACACCGTCCCCCCCCTTGATGAATGGGAGAAAGGGGAGGAGCGACGTCAAGGCGGACGTGGGCGATCATTGGTGCCTGGCGGCTCCCCCCTTCCCTCGCGGCTCCCCCCTTCCTCGCCAACTAAGGGCGCGCAAAGCCTCCTCTCGCTCCTGATTGGCCCGCCCGGCTCATCAATCCCAGGTATTGTGCAGCGCGTTGACATCCCTTTTGACAAACAGGGCTTCCAGGAGTAGCAACTTTTTTTTTTTATAAAGCCAAATTTTTTTTTGCACGAAAATATTTCAAACGCATCTTTTTGTGTGTGTGTGCGCGCGCGCGCTCCAAAACCCTGATCCATATTATTACTGGTATTTTTCCCCCCTCTCTTCACAATCATACTCTTAATGATGGTAATGATGATTGCCTGGAGATCAAGAATTTTTAACCACCCTGAGCAACTTTTTAGGGTGTGAAAAGGGAAGCCCTTTTGTGCCTGGCTTCTTTTGAAGTTGTGTTTTCTCCTTGTTTCAAACTGCAGCACTCCAGAGCATATGCCGATTGCGTTTGATTTTACCTTTAAACAACAAGCGTGATTTCTCGGGGTAACTGACTCTAGCCCTCGATCAGTTTTCTGAAATAAATCTTGTTTTCTGCACCCATCAAAACGCAGGTGGGTGAGAGCTCTTAACTTTCTAGTTTCTGTTGTTGTTGTTTCCCCCCTTTTTGTTATTGTGGTTTTTTCCCCTCCCCCTCACCCCTTCTTTTTTTTTCCTTTTTTTCTTTTTTTCTTCCACGAGATCCCTTTCATTCAGGTAAATTTCTCAAAGCTACTTTGTTTCCTCTCTGCTGCATGAAGCTCCCGGGTACTTTCTTTTTTCTACTTTTTTTTTCTTTTTTTGGTGGTGGTGGTGGGGGGAGGGTAAAATTTATTTAAAATCCTCGATAGATCGGAGCAATGTAAATTTTCTGACATTCAAACCTTTTCTAGTTCACAAATCAGTCACCCTTGTCACAGTTATTGAAATTCCTCAACTTGCCACACCAGGACGGTGGAAAAAGCAGGCGGTGTCTTTGTTGCTGACCAAGCTTTTGATCGCCAGAGAAAATTTACTTACCTTCAGATGAGTGAGCAGAAAAAGAAATAACACTCCCTTTGATTTAGTTAGGAAAATGCAGACATTTGGATTCAGTGCAAACATACAACACTTGGTTGTTTTCTAGATGCAACCCTCGATTAACCTGTCTTTCCCCAGCTCAAAGTCTATTGAAAAACTGCGGATAGTTCCTTTTTGTTCTTGCTACAAAGAGCCATTGACTATATATTAAAATGATTGTTGAAAGGTATAAGTATAGCACTTAAAAGAAGAAAATCTTTGTGACTCAATCAATTAAGCTAAGTAACACTGGCACATTAATTTTAAATGATGCTCCGGCTTTTAAAAAAACATACCAGATTTGCCTTTTACTGAGAATATTAAAAAAAAAAATCCTGCAGGCTATTTATTTACTCAGTAGGCTGCATATTTATTAGGTCTAATTATTTTCTGCTAACGAAAACACAAAAAGCTAGCTAAGAGTCGGAATCCTTCAATTTTCCCTTTTTTTCAGCCCTCCACTTGGTTTCTTTGCAAGTAAATCTTATCCCTTCAAACTCTTCTTCCTAAATAAAGAAACTTTTTAGCTCATCCTTTCAAATGAAAGGCATGAGGAAACAATCACCATCTCAGGTACTGGTGAATCGGACATGGGATCGCTTGAATAGTTCTCATTTTAGGACTTCCTTTTTTTAAAGGGGATACAGAACTGCCTTTTTTAAAGGGGATAAAGTGCGATTACAAAACAACAACTTGCAGAATGCATTAATAAATGTATCGCTGTATATTAGCTAGCTGGGCAATTTGCATCTCTTTCATAGGTGAAGATGATTTTCAGTGCAGCCTTGTCGAGTGATTACTCCTGCTCATTATGAATAGCTGGGACTACATTTTTTAGCCTGTCTTGTGAAGCAAGCGTGAAAAAAATACAATTACAATATCTTAGAGCAACAGGTATAAACTATGCATGGTGGGTGTGGGTGTGTGTGGGGGGAGGTCAGTGAGTGCTTGCCTATCTTTTACTGGATGTTATATTACTATTTATGCCTCCTGCTAAAAATGCCAGGGTAAAGTGCATGGTTCTTACACCCTAATAATGAGAAACCTACAAGGCAGTGACACTGGGAGTGCAATAAACTCGATTGTCCACTCTTAGACTTCCTCCAAAATGCAGGGGGAACCCACCCCTCTGCAACCCGTGGGCAATCTAGGAGGAAGGCTGGCGAGAGGATATTTTTAGGCAGAGCGTCTAAGTCTACAGAGTAAGAGGGGATGTGAAAAAAAAAAGTTGTGGGTTGTAGAAGTTATCAAGTGGGATTTGCGGCGCGCGCTCTGCAGGGAACGAAAGCTGCTCCAGTTCAAAGCCACATGCACCAACGTGACATATAAGCCATTAAAATATCATCCTGACGGCTCATTTCTGCTTCATCATACATTCCCCAACTGCTTCCAGAAAGCCAGAAAAGAAGAAATGAAGGATGACCGCCTCGCTGGAACCGCCAGAGAGGTGGTGGGTTTTTGTTCCTACCCCCTCCTTTTTTTGTCAGTTCAGAAATGATGGGCAGAACTGAGGGAGCATCTTCAACAGGTCGAGTGGGGTAAGTGAGTGCGGGGCGGGGGGCACCGGCGGGCAGACAGGGACCTAGCACCCGCTCCCCGCCGCCTGCCTGGGTCCTTGGCACCCCTTGGCTGACAGGAGAGGGGGCCTGGCACCCCAAGGCGAGGGGGCAGGGCACCCATGCCCGCCCTGAGGAAGTGGCTTGGCATCACGGCCCCCCACGTGGGGAAGGCTTGGCGCACCTTGGCTGGGAGAGGGCTGCCCACCTACTGGGGCTGGCAAGGAGGCTGTGGAGCAGGGCGGCTTCCCCCCGAGGGCTCCTGTGCCCCCCGCCCCTGCCTCCCCTCACAGGGGGAAGGGGCTGCGTCTGCCCCAGGGCTGGGCTCCCCTGCGCCAAGGGGAAGGGGCTCCTCAGCCCTCGCTCCACCACAGCAGCGACATCCCCCCAGCCTGCCGAGGGGGCAGGGAGGGGCACGGGCTGCGCGCACCCCCGGGGGCAGGGGGAAGCGGCTTCTCCGCCCCCACTGGGACGGCCCAGGGTGTCCCCGCCCCACTGGGACCAGGGCACAGGCACCCAGGGCTCCCCCTCCCCCGAGGCGCGGGCAGAGACCCGGGCCAGGGGGCCACCAGGGCAGCGGATCAGGGCCACGCGTCGCTGCGCCCGCGGGTGGCGGCGGGGGGCGGTCCTGGGGGTCCCCACAGAGCAGAGCATCTCTGGCCGGGGCTGCAGCACGCTGCGCCCGCGGCCGCCGGGGGTTGGTCTCGGGGATCCGTCCCGCGAAGCTGCTTTCCTTCCCGAGAGGCGCTTCACCGGTTAACCGCCCCCCGCACCGCGGCAGCGGCCAAGCTGGGGGGTCGCTAGCTGGGCCGGCGGCGGCCCCAGGGCCGGGGGCTCGGCCACTGCGCTGCTCCAGCCG